AAATTTTGAAAATGTTTCGGAAGGTCTGACACTTTTATATATATCTTAAATTAAAGCTTATGTAATATAGTTTAATTTGAAAAAAAAAATTTGACTTCTGGACTTGTCTTCATGGTGAAAATGGCTACCGAATGCTATTTTTGTGTGAAAATTCTCGATTTTATTTTTTACATTTTTAACTTTATAATGCTATAACTTATTGAAAAGTGTATGGATCAACACAAATTTTTTATGAGAAATAATATTTTTTAATAATCCCTTTTTCATGCGACATACTTTATCTTAATCAGGATATTAATAAGAAAAAGCAGATAATGTAGCTTTTGGAATAATACACCAATTTTTTAAAATTAAACACTATCTAAAGATTTGCATCGAAGCGTTTTTTTTATGGTGATTTTAATTACTGTCAGATATCATTATACTTGATCCATCTATACCACGGCAACACTGTGCCGCGACCCCCCTGTGCTGGGTTTTTTAATAATGAAATAAGTAAATTGTCAATAATAAATAATCCATAAAATAATGATTAAATATAATTTATTAAATTATGTTTTATACAAATAAATATAAATAATAATTATTACAGTTTGATTTATTCTTAATTATTTTATTTTTTATTATCAATATCTATAATTAATTAAAATTATAGTTATTACGTTTATTTATATAAATAAATAATCTATTGCATAATAAACCATTAAGATATTTTACAAAATTTTGTAGAGATATTTAACATCATTTGTTCAATATTGTTGAATCACCGAGGTTAATCTACTATTTTTTCATAAACATTTGTGTTTATTTGATTTATTTTACCATTGCCCCTGTGTTCAGCCACCGTTTACTCACCTTTCTAAAACCTCTCTTTATTTATATCATTATATATTTTACACACTTAAATATTCTACCATATTTAACCACATACTATATTATAATATTATATTTTATATTTTATTTTATTTTATTCCCTTTCAACTTTTTCTTTACTTTTCTTTTTACTTTATTATATTAGGATTCAGCATAAAAAAACTATTTGAAACAATAAAAAATTTTCATTAACATTTCATGACCCATATTTTGTCGAGCTAAGTTATTGAGCAATTTCAAATGTGTGTCGACTAACTAATTATGAATTATACATTTTTTAAAAATTTTTTGTTGTTTTACATGTATTTATAGAATATTTTTTAATTTAATATTAAATTTTACTTATAACATCCTCCTCTTTTGTTAAATTGTCATTAATACAATTTAGCTCAATTTTGAAGATAGGGGTTTAATTTTATTTAAATAAAATTATAAATTAGGACTTATCAATGAGATGTAATAATGTTAGTCTGAAATCAACTAAAATACTTACATGTATTCAGTTTTTGAATGTGGATATCTGCCATCTGGCCAGAGCATATAACAAGCTCTTCTAAGTTCTCCATTTGTATATCTATAGAAAAGTATAGTATATTTGTTTACTAAATTGATATTATATAAAAGCTATGTTTATAGATTACATAATATTGACTATTTAATATTAAATTTCTAAAAAATGCAAAATGAGAAGATAAAAATTTATTATTATCCTATACATACATTTTTATAGGAAATGTGCATTAAATAAAAATTTTTTCTTAAGTTTTTTTTTTAAATTAATGTGTGTTTTTACGCGAAATAAAGTAGTTTGAAATAACAAATGAAATACCTTTTTGTTTTTATATTTGAATACAGGAAACATGGAATCGCCAAAAATATGCTGATAGCCCAGATAAGAATGAGAACTGTTTGGGTTCTCGTACGAGATCTCCTATGTCTTAATGGATGAACAATAGCCATATATCTGCAATAATAATAAAAAATTATTAGTAGACTACAATAAGTTGCAACTACAATAAAAATATATATATTATAAGTTTTAACTTTAATTTTATATAAAAGTTCAGAGTGTCTAATACTTTATAAGGATGAAATTTTTTATATATAATGTATTGTAACTGTTGTTTATAATGATGAGAGCAAAGTTATGCCAACTTGTTTTATATAAATATATTTTTGAGTAATAAAACTACATAAAAGTAAGAAACAACCTAAAGTGAGAAATCTTATAAATAAAACTAGCAGCTTAGTTTGTTTCTCAAAGTTTTTTTTCTAAGAAATACTCATATTATTTAAGTTGTATTTAACAAAATAAAATCGATAATTCTATTTGTATTAGATAATATCAATGTATATATACAGAGTGATTTTTATATCATAATCCACCAATTACTTTCAGAATAATAATAATTAAATTTCTTTTTTATTATCTTTAGTTACACATTATTCTTGAATTATTAACTATGTAATACTTTTTAAGTTCAACCCTTTTTAAATGGGTAGACATATTTTAAATTTAATAAAATGTTTGAGTTTTTAATTTAATAGTAAATGACATTTAAATTTTTAGTATAAATTTATTTGTTTATTAGATATAAACATTTAAAGTTTCAAATTTTTGAGTTAATATACATGTATAATAACAAGGGATTACAAATACATGTAGCTAATTGGATTTTTATGACATTGCTGTCACAGTCACGGCTTGTTTATTATCAATTATGACTATCATTAGATATACTTTCTGTATTGTCAGTTAGTGTATTTATAAACTCACAACAATGTGCTTTACTACCATTGATAATAACAATGCTGTGAACCTGCTAATATCGATGTAATAAAAAACCAATTGGCATTTTCTTAATTAGATTATGTACTATTTTAAAAGCTAATTAAATATGTATGTTACCATTTGCAAAAATAAAGATCATATTCCTTTAAGTTATAAGAGATGCTTCTAAAAAGTAATTATTAGCTGATAAATCAAGAATAATATGTAACTAAAAGAAATCAAATTTTTTTTTCCAATATTTGCGAGTAATCGAGTGTTTTATAGTAAGCCGATTACTCTGTACACTCATTGTTATTGGTGAAGTCGGGAATTCATAATTGATGGGGGAATAGTAAAAAAGTCTACAAAATTCCATATTTTAAAGTTTTTTTTGTTTATTACTTCATTGTATAGATAAATATTACTGTTAATGGGTAAACCACCTCCCTAGCTAAACTACTGCTCAATAGTTATAAAAGACAATAAGCTTTTCTACGGGTTCCACTTATATTATCAACACTAGTAAGAAGAGGAAGCAGAACGCGAGTGTCTTAGAAATATAAAGTAGTTAGTAATTAATTATAATTAATATCTGATAAAATAAAATAATATTGTTTATTTAAAAATTGGAGTTATCGTTTTAAAACATAATTAAAAAATGACTGTGTATATTAAATAAAATTAGTTTGAAATTATGAACTATGGTATGAAAGAAACTATTTCTTTAAAGAGGATTTTCTATTATTGAATAAGATATAAACTTTACATTGTAAAGGTTTGTGTTGTACAAATACTTTTTTAAATGGCAGTTAAACTTAAATCGCCTTAGACAGGTTTTGTTATACATAATATAGAATACTAAGATGTATTATAAATAGTATAAATAAAAAATGTCATTTGTACAAATAATATTCTACATAAAATTGGTATAATACGAATAGAAAAACGTGCAAATATTTTTACATTGTATTTAGTTTCCTCATTGTCAAATTATTCTGCTGCAACAAAAACAAAATCCAGCCAAGAATAGGAATTAGTTTTTGTGGTTTAATGTTTATGCCATGTTACAAAAATGTTTGTTTTGTTCTATGTATAATAAAATGTTTGTTTTTCATGCTTGACAAATTTGTTATTGTTTTATATTTTTATGAAACCGTTGAAATATTGTTTCACCCGTCCATTTTAATTAGTTTAAGTAAGCAATGTAATACTGAAAAATGGGTTAACATAAGCAAGTTCACGCATTAAGTATTTTAGCTTCAATGCGAAGCTGAGGAAGTATTAATTTTACTACATGTTAATATTAATATTAATAGAAATATTAAGTATTAACCTAACATTTGGTATAATTTTTTTGTAAATCTGTCCCTTTNTTTTTTTATGGTGATTTTAATTACTGTCAGATATCATTATACTTGATCCATCTATACCACGGCAACACTGTGCCGCGACCCCCCTGTGCTGGGTTTTTTAATAATGAAATAAGTAAATTGTCAATAATAAATAATCCATAAAATAATGATTAAATATAATTTATTAAATTATGTTTTATACAAATAAATATAAATAATAATTATTACAGTTTGATTTATTCTTAATTATTTTATTTTTTATTATCAATATCTATAATTAATTAAAATTATAGTTATTACGTTTATTTATATAAATAAATAATCTATTGCATAATAAACCATTAAGATATTTTACAAAATTTTGTAGAGATATTTAACATCATTTGTTCAATATTGTTGAATCACCGAGGTTAATCTACTATTTTTTCATAAACATTTGTGTTTATTTGATTTATTTTACCATTGCCCCTGTGTTCAGCCACCGTTTACTCACCTTTCTAAAACCTCTCTTTATTTATATCATTATATATTTTACACACTTAAATATTCTACCATATTTAACCACATACTATATTATAATATTATATTTTATATTTTATTTTATTTTATTCCCTTTCAACTTTTTCTTTACTTTTCTTTTTACTTTATTATATTAGGATTCAGCATAAAAAAACTATTTGAAACAATAAAAAATTTTCATTAACATTTCATGACCCATATTTTGTCGAGCTAAGTTATTGAGCAATTTCAAATGTGTGTCGACTAACTAATTATGAATTATACATTTTTTAAAAATTTTTTGTTGTTTTACATGTATTTATAGAATATTTTTTAATTTAATATTAAATTTTACTTATAACATCCTCCTCTTTTGTTAAATTGTCATTAATACAATTTAGCTCAATTTTGAAGATAGGGGTTTAATTTTATTTAAATAAAATTATAAATTAGGACTTATCAATGAGATGTAATAATGTTAGTCTGAAATCAACTAAAATACTTACATGTATTCAGTTTTTGAATGTGGATATCTGCCATCTGGCCAGAGCATATAACAAGCTCTTCTAAGTTCTCCATTTGTATATCTATAGAAAAGTATAGTATATTTGTTTACTAAATTGATATTATATAAAAGCTATGTTTATAGATTACATAATATTGACTATTTAATATTAAATTTCTAAAAAATGCAAAATGAGAAGATAAAAATTTATTATTATCCTATACATACATTTTTATAGGAAATGTGCATTAAATAAAAATTTTTTCTTAAGTTTTTTTTTTAAATTAATGTGTGTTTTTACGCGAAATAAAGTAGTTTGAAATAACAAATGAAATACCTTTTTGTTTTTATATTTGAATACAGGAAACATGGAATCGCCAAAAATATGCTGATAGCCCAGATAAGAATGAGAACTGTTTGGGTTCTCGTACGAGATCTCCTATGTCTTAATGGATGAACAATAGCCATATATCTGCAATAATAATAAAAAATTATTAGTAGACTACAATAAGTTGCAACTACAATAAAAATATATATATTATAAGTTTTAACTTTAATTTTATATAAAAGTTCAGAGTGTCTAATACTTTATAAGGATGAAATTTTTTATATATAATGTATTGTAACTGTTGTTTATAATGATGAGAGCAAAGTTATGCCAACTTGTTTTATATAAATATATTTTTGAGTAATAAAACTACATAAAAGTAAGAAACAACCTAAAGTGAGAAATCTTATAAATAAAACTAGCAGCTTAGTTTGTTTCTCAAAGTTTTTTTTCTAAGAAATACTCATATTATTTAAGTTGTATTTAACAAAATAAAATCGATAATTCTATTTGTATTAGATAATATCAATGTATATATACAGAGTGATTTTTATATCATAATCCACCAATTACTTTCAGAATAATAATAATTAAATTTCTTTTTTATTATCTTTAGTTACACATTATTCTTGAATTATTAACTATGTAATACTTTTTAAGTTCAACCCTTTTTAAATGGGTAGACATATTTTAAATTTAATAAAATGTTTGAGTTTTTAATTTAATAGTAAATGACATTTAAATTTTTAGTATAAATTTATTTGTTTATTAGATATAAACATTTAAAGTTTCAAATTTTTGAGTTAATATACATGTATAATAACAAGGGATTACAAATACATGTAGCTAATTGGATTTTTATGACATTGCTGTCACAGTCACGGCTTGTTTATTATCAGTTATGACTATCATTAGATATACTTTCTGTATTGTCAGTTAGTGTATTTATAAACTCACAACAATGTGCTTTACTACCATTGATAATAACAATGCTGTGAACCTGCTAATATCGATGTAATAAAAAACCAATTGGCATTTTCTTAATTAGATTATGTACTATTTTAAAAGCTAATTAAATATGTATGTTACCATTTGCAAAAATAAAGATCATATTCCTTTAAGTTATAAGAGATGCTTCTAAAAAGTAATTATTAGCTGATAAATCAAGAATAATATGTAACTAAAAGAAATCAAATTTTTTTTTCCAATATTTGCGAGTAATCGAGTGTTTTATAGTAAGCCGATTACTCTGTACACTCATTGTTATTGGTGAAGTCGGGAATTCATAATTGATGGGGGAATAGTAAAAAAGTCTACAAAATTCCATATTTTAAAGTTTTTTTTGTTTATTACTTCATTGTATAGATAAATATTACTGTTAATGGGTAAACCACCTCCCTAGCTAAACTACTGCTCAATAGTTATAAAAGACAATAAGCTTTTCTACGGGTTCCACTTATATTATCAACACTAGTAAGAAGAGGAAGCAGAACGCGAGTGTCTTAGAAATATAAAGTAGTTAGTAATTAATTATAATTAATATCTGATAAAATAAAATAATATTGTTTATTTAAAAATTGGAGTTATCGTTTTAAAACATAATTAAAAAATGACTGTGTATATTAAATAAAATTAGTTTGAAATTATGAACTATGGTATGAAAGAAACTATTTCTTTAAAGAGGATTTTCTATTATTGAATAAGATATAAACTTTACATTGTAAAGGTTTGTGTTGTACAAATACTTTTTTAAATGGCAGTTAAACTTAAATCGCCTTAGACAGGTTTTGTTATACATAATATAGAATACTAAGATGTATTATAAATAGTATAAATAAAAAATGTCATTTGTACAAATAATATTCTACATAAAATTGGTATAATACGAATAGAAAAACGTGCAAATATTTTTACATTGTATTTAGTTTCCTCATTGTCAAATTATTCTGCTGCAACAAAAACAAAATCCAGCCAAGAATAGGAATTAGTTTTTGTGGTTTAATGTTTATGCCATGTTACAAAAATGTTTGTTTTGTTCTATGTATAATAAAATGTTTGTTTTTCATGCTTGACAAATTTGTTATTGTTTTATATTTTTATGAAACCGTTGAAATATTGTTTCACCCGTCCATTTTAATTAGTTTAAGTAAGCAATGTAATACTGAAAAATGGGTTAACATAAGCAAGTTCACGCATTAAGTATTTTAGCTTCAATGCGAAGCTGAGGAAGTATTAATTTTACTACATGTTAATATTAATATTAATAGAAATATTAAGTATTAACCTAACATTTGGTATAATTTTTTTGTAAATCTGTCCCTTTACGGTGGGAGATTCAAAATGACAATTTTTCCAAAAAAATGAACTTTTTCTACTTAACTGTTGAAAGTAATCCAGAAATACTAACACTTTTATATATATCTTAAATTAAAGCTTATGTAATATACTTTAATATGAAAATTATAATCAAATTTTATAATACGCTCATTTGAGTGGATTTTTTTAACATTATTTTGATTGTTTTTTTTAGTTAAAGTAAATCATTAAAATTAATTAAGTTTTGAATATTTCAATTGTAGAATCTTTTTATTCGCCAAAAGTTACTTAGAAATGATTACTATTGTTATCTATCATGGCAGTGGTTATTAAATTGTGACGATGCATATAAAAAAATTAAAAAAATTCTTATTTCAAGGCCCACATTAGCACATTTCGATCATAAATTACCACTTAAACTAATAGTAGACTCTCTTCGTATGCACTAGGCACAGTCTTATCACATGTGTACCCTGATAATTCAGTAGGTTTCGTTATATAAATTTACAAAATATTACTTGCTTTGTGCTGTCAGATTTTCATTTACCTTTTATATTTAACTGTTTCTTTAACCAATATGTGTGCTATTTGAAATTTAAATAAAAAACTATTTATTTTGTTGCCCCTTTATACATTATGTGATAAGATAAATATTTGAAGAGGAAAACGGATCGTTCCAAAAAACTCTTCAGCAGCATTAGGTCCAATATATAAGAGTTTTCTTTGGTTATAGTTCGTCGTCGTTACTATTTTGATTAGTGTTTAGCTATGTTAAGAAATAAAATTAACAAATAATTGAAATGATTCATTTAAATTTTAGATACTACAATCTAGATATAACATAGAATTGTCTATAATTATCATACAAGTACAGCAGTAATGTGTTTTGTAGTATATAAATTATTCTGTTTATACGTCTCTTGTGATAAAAAGTCCTAACAAATTTTGAAAGGATAAGTTACAAACTTCAACTTAAGCAACTTGTATAAAGATTAGCTATTTAACACTCTTAGTAATGTGTTCTCCAAATGTTTTTAAAAACAATGTATATACATGAGTTATTTCGACACTTTAATAAACTGTAATTAATATAATATAGTGCACGTAGAAATCTCTCAAAAACACTGCATTATGTGTAGCACTAAATAATAAATCATTCAGTGTACGTTTTAATATATCTAAAATCTTAACATACAATAATGTTTAATCCGTATGAACGGAAAATTAGCCAATTGGAGTAGATTTTGTTTTTTTTTTATATTACGTATAAACAAGCTCTCAATTAAAAAGAAACATAAAATATATTATATACAGACCTAATATTTAGTACAAAAGTAGTGTTAACATTTCTTCTTGTAAAACTCATCAGTTTACTAGGAAAATGACAAAACATGCAAATTTTCATCAATTTGGCCAAATTGCCGTATTTATAGATATTTTGTTATTTATATCGATAGCTTTTATGGATAAAACTAAATGTTTCATGTATTCAAATGTAAAAATGTAAACATTTTTCGTTTATATTTGTACTTTTAAAATTTTTAAGAATAAAAAACTCCTAAATTTTGGATTTTTTGAGATAAATTAACATATAATATGCAATAATTTTGTAATAATTATATTATTTAATCATTTTATTTTGAGTTTTTATTCGTAAATAAAGAAATAATAAAGAATATAAATGTCTATTAACATGTTAATTTATGTTATTGTTATTTAATGAAACTATGATTACCTATTTTGATATTTTTGACTTTAACCATTTACGGGGTTTTTATTTAATAGATATATATTATTTTTGTTCTAAAATTTTATTAAAGTATAATAAATTAAACTTGTATTCTACATATAATTTATTCGTGCTTTGATAAAATTAAAATAATCAAAATTAATTATTTAGTGTACAATTTTGTTTAAAAGTATATGATAATAAATTAAAAATATTTATCACATTCATTAGGCAGAATACGGATTAGTTTTTCCTTAACTCTGCAGAATAAGAATTCATGAAAAGAATATTATCACAAGGCGTTTTGTAGATCATTAAATATGTACACTAGACTATTCTTTATTCAGCGAGATAAACAAAAGTGAAGATGGTTGTGTCATGATTAAATAAATCTTTTGGGAGAGTTATAGCATAAATAGATAATTTTAGGTTTCTTTGTAAACATTATAATTTCATATATGCACAAAATAAATGTATAAATATGTATATTAGGGTGGCCCTCAAAAATCGAATGTCTTTTTTTTCTTTACGCTACCCCTTAATTTTTTTTTAATGGTCAAAAAAATGAGCTGTGCAAAATTTGGGACCGATCCGTTAAGGTTAACCCGTGCCCCCAGGCCTATTAAGTTGAGTCAAAGAGTCAAATTTAAAAGAAATAACTGATCTATGTCTCATAACTTTTTTTTCTCTTAACTTAGAATAATAAAAGTAAAACTCAAGTAAAGGAAATTTTACAAGAAATTCAAAAATAATAACTTCAATGTTGTTTTCTCAATAAATAGCCCACAAAAACACTACATACAGTAAAAAACATGTAAAAGTCTTAAAATACGTTATAACTGATTTTGTTGATTTTTAATTATTTATTTTCATTTTATTTTTTGGAAAACGCATATTCGTTTAAAAAAAGATTCTAGAAGTTTAATTTTTTATGCCAAGTACGATAATTATATTAGATTTATTATTTTATGGACAGTTAATTAATGATTAATTACAAACCTAACAGTTTAATTTAATTGTTATTAACAATTTTTAATTTATTTTTTTTTTAAATAATAATAACTTTAAAAAAAATATTTTAACAATAATTAAATTATATTATTATAATATATTTTTTGATAATGTACTTTTTTTACAATTAGGAAATTTTTTCCGATAATTACTTACTATTTGTAAAACGTATTGTTTCTGTTCTTCATTTGTAGTTAATATATTAATGTAGTCTTAGATTAATTTAATGCCACGCTAGGCTGTATCATTAATGACTCGTAATTTACTTATAGTATTTAAAGCATTTATGTAACTGTTGTTCGCACTCCAAAATGATGGATCAATTTTCAAAAAATCAGTGTTCAGATTAAATAGTTGTAAATTTGATGGTAACTTACTACCAGTTATTTCGTGGGAATAATTACCAATAAGATAAATATTAGTTCGTAATACTTTAAAAGACGCTAAAAGTATTGTACATTTGTGATTAAAACGTATCATTTAATATATAATAATAAACAGGTAAAATATATTTAACGTGTTCACAAATTGTCTGCTGCATTTATACGACACAAATTATGTCAGTTGTCGAAAATAACTCAAATATACTTATCTTTAATAATAATATAATTGGTACTATCTTAAAGTAATTCAGTAAACCAAAATTGATATATTGATACGACAAAATGTAATAATACAATCAATTTTGTTAAATTTGTAATTAATCATTAATTAACTGTCCATAAAATAATAAATCTAATATAATTATCGTACTTGGCATAAAAAATTAAACTTCTAGAATCTTTTTTTAAACGAATATGCGTTTTCCAAAAAATAAAATGAAAATAAATAATTAAAAATCAACAAAATCAGTTATAACGTATTTTAAGACTTTTACATGTTTTTTACTGTATGTAGTGTTTTTGTGGGCTATTTATTGAGAAAACAACATTGAAGTTATTATTTTTGAATTTCTTGTAAAATTTCCTTTACTTGAGTTTTACTTTTATTATTCTAAGTTAAGAGAAAAAAAAGTTATGAGACATAGATCAGTTATTTCTATTAAATTTGACTCTTCGACTCAACTTAATAGGCCCGGGGGCACGGGTTAACCTTAACGGATCGGTCCCAAATTTTGCACAGCTCATTTTTTTGACCATTAAAAAAAAATTAAGGGGTAGCGTAAAGAAAAAAAAGACATTCGATTTTTGAGGGCCACCCTAATGTATATAGATATCATATTGATTTTACATAATGTATAAACCTCTATGTTGTAATATAAAACAATATCGTTGATTTTTGCAGTAAATGAACAAATCACAAGGCAAGATACTATAGGCACATAAACTATCTTAAAATAATATTGTATTCAATATTATATAAAGAGAATTTCTAACATTTTTATGAAAATGGATTTTATTTTTATTTAACTTAAGTTTAAAATAGATATGCGAAATTCATAAATATACAAATATGGTTGAAAATCGTTGTTTAATAAAATAATTGCGACATAAAAATTATTTCCTAGTAATTTTATCCAAAAATTGAGTTAAATAATTACATAAATAAAAAACAAAGTTGACACCCTTACCAGGCATAAGGGATGAACTTAAAAAGTATTACATAGTTAATAATTCAAGTATAATGTGTAACTAAAGATAATAATAAAAAAAAAAATGTTTAATTATTATTATTCTGTAAGTGATTGAGTGGGTTATGATAAAAAAATCACCCTGTATACAAGTAAAGCGGCTTAAGTACGTAAACGTATCATGCACTAGGTTTTGCCGTGTTTTGTAGGCGGGCTGGTCGGACTAACGTTATACCTGAAGTATGAACGGCGGTAGGAATATATACATAAACCGTATGGTACGCGGATAGTATTGGTCAGTCAAAATAAAAATTTGTTTATACATATATAATATTGATGACAAGCACGCGTGTACGGGTACGATAACCAAAAATAAATTTTTATAGGAATAGTGTTGCCGTAGCACAGTGGGACCAAACGCTGATTTAGCCGGCCAAAAGTACCATTTTTAAATCAACTAATAACATTTTTTTTTAGCAAATTTTTTTTATTATATCCTTATGAGGTCATGTACAAAAATTCTAGGCCAAAAATTGATACAGTAATGGTTGAGTACTATTTAAATATCATAACATTCAATTTTTTTGTTTTTTTTTTCTAGGATTTTTATTATTCCTTCAATAATTTTTTTCTGCTAAATTAAAAACCTTATTTTAGCTTCGATGCGAAGCTGAAAAGGTATTGGTTTTACTAAGATGTGTTTTTTTTTTTTTTTGTGTCTGTTATCACTTTTTCTCAGCTCTCACTGAACCGATTTCTTTCAATGATACGTCAAAAGATCACAAATTGTATCTAGTCGAAGACATTACCCTCAAAAATTGAAAAAAATTCCCTCGTTCCCCGTAAATGGGGGAAACCTCCAAAAAAATTACGAATTTAAAAATCGCTAATTTTTTCAATTTTTTTTACTTAAAAGTGCCATAACTTTTTCAAAAATTAACATATCAATATAATTCTTTTTTATATACATGCATAATATCATTACCTTTCATTTGGTATATTTTTTTCATATATTTAACCCTTAACCTGCCCACAAAGGGGGATTTAAAATGACAACTTTTTCACAAAAAATTAACTTTTTCAACTTAACTTTTGAAAATGTTCCGGAAGGTCTGACACTTTTATATATATCTTAAATTAAAGCTAATGTAATATACTTTATTATGGTAAAAAAAAATTTCGGACTTTATTTTATCTTCATGGTGAAAATGGCTACCGAATGCTATTTTTGTGTGAAAATTTTCGATTTTGTATTTTACATTTTTAACTTTATTATGCTATAACTTTTTGAAAAATGTATGGATAAGTACAATTTTTTCATGAAGAGTAGTATTCATATACATCTTTTATTTGACATACTGTTTTTTTAAATCGGAACATTTCCCTATATACGAGGGGGGTTCAAATCTAAAAAATGCATGTAGAATGTAGAACTTTTTCAACTTAAATTTTGAAAGTGTTCCGGAAAGTCTGACACTTTTATATATATCTTAAATTAAAGCTAATGTAATTTACTTTATTATGCGAAAAAAAAATTTCGGACTTTATTTTATCTTCACGGTGAAAATGGCTACCAAATGCTATTATTGTGTGAAAATTCTCGATTTTATGTTTTACATTTTTTACTTTATAATGCTATGACATATTGAAAAGTGTATGGATAAACATTATTTTTTTATGAGAAAATATGTTTTTTAATAATCCCTTTTTCATTCGACATACTTTATCTTAATTAGGATATTAATAATGAACTAGCAGATCATGTAGCTTTTGGAATAATCCACCAATTTTTTAAAATTAAACACTATCTAAAGATTTGCATCGAAGCGTTTTTTTTTTGATAGTGATTTTAATCATTGTGAGATATCATTATACTTGATCCATCTATACACGTCACCACTGTGTCGCGATCCCCCTGTGCTGGGGTTTTTTTTTTTTTATTTAAAATGTTTAATAAGTCATCGGCTTTCAAATTTACTAAGAACAAATTTTTATTTATTTTTTTTTTTAATTTTAATAATTTTTTACACACAAAAAAATGCAAATACTTAGACCAGACCTAGGCAGTCGAAGAACGCGAATTTTAAAGTGCAGAAAACGGAAAATTCTTCCAGGTGACTCATATTTTGAGGGGTTTACGAAAATAGAATGTAGAGGGAGTTAGAGAGAGACAAATTATTTTTTATTTATAGATTAATCAAGGGAAACTCAAAAACTATAAACGATAGCCCATTGAAATGTGTTATAAAAATTATGAACAGTCTAATCGAAAAAGAAAATTCATCAAAATGTATGGTTGTAGTGATGTCAAAATTAAGATATACAATAAACGCATGTAACTATTTTAATTTTTACCTTGGCTAATATATCAATAACAATTAAATTGTATAGATATTTTTATTATTAATACCTTAAATAAACAAATATTTATTTAAACTAAATCATAAAATAATTTTTTAAATCCTTAAAAATATATTATTTTATGTAAACACAAAACTTAAAAAGATATTTTAAATAATATAATTATACAAATTTGTATTAGTTATACATTCTATATTATTTGTACAATAATTATGTCAAGCAAGATTCCATACTGTTGTGCATTCTTAAACTGTGAAGTTTGTATTAATAATATATTAACATTAATTAATCCCAGCATAAATTAAATCATTAACCTTAGTTTGTTTATTTATTACAATAAATTTAATTAAATTTTTTATTCATCTTTAAACTGTTAATTATGTATTGTTAAATAGCTATAGTTAAAAAGAACGATCAATGTTAGATATCAAATTTACTATTAAATTTAATAATTTTCTAGAAATTCAATATTAATGAAAATAAATATTGTAATTTATGGTTTTTAGTTTGCAAAATACAAACGCCGTGTAAGACGACGATATCCACTTGAAGATCATGATCCTAATTCACAGGACAGTGGTTCTCTTACTGCTCATTCAGATGATTCTAGATCAGTGTCAACATTATCTGATATGCGATCTGAGAGCAATACATCATATACAGCTGTTTCAGATGATGAATTCTTAGACATTGCTTTATCCCCAACAAGATCGGTAATTATTTTACCTTTTAAAAAGGTTAACAGTTTTTTTCCTAATTTTATTTTATTTCTAGTCTCCAGATTCACTTCTACTTGGATTCAGTACATTAATAGAAGGAGATATTATTAGCCAGACATCAATTATTCTTAAAAGAAAAATTACAAAATATTCTTCAGATACTCCTCGCAAGACTGTAATTATTATAAAACAATTTATTATTTCAATAATCATAGATTTAATACATGTATAACTTACAGGATTTATTGTTTGGTGATATTAAAAATAATGAAGCAGTTGTGAGAAAAAGAAAGTTGACACGTGATTTAGAATCAAATCCTGAAACTAATGTATTATTAAAGAAATCTAGACCTAGTACAAGTCTTTCTATGTCATTTGATTCTCCATGACTTGATTATATAAACAGTCCTTTAACTGCCCCTGTATCTCAGAAAAAATGTACTTTATTTGATTATGGATTTTGTAAAAAAGAAAAACCAGTTTTTCGACGTTCATTTTCTACTAGTGAAGCTACTATTAAAGCTGCTTTTGAAAAAAGTAGAAAATAAAGAAGATTACTTTTTTAAATTATTTATTCATTTCTAATACTCATTATAAATAAATATAATTAATAAGCAATCATGTTTATTATAAATAATGCTTTAAAAGTGATAATATTTGAACTGTTTCTCTATCTAAAATATATTGTTAGTTAAAAGGTCAAGTAATGTAAACATCACTTTTTTCAAATTAGATTTATGATAGAACTAATAATAAACGGTTGAATAAATATTTAACAAAAATAAAAATCAATTAAATTATTGGCCACAAAATATTTATTCCTATCTAAAGTCATACCAAAAATTAAAAATTAATTTTAGGGAATTTACTACTTTATCTATTAACTGATATAATTATTATAAAAAAAATTTTCCTCTAAAATTGTTTGTAATTAATAACATTATTATTTCATTATAAATTATACAAGTGAGTCTTAGAAAGATAAATGAATAAGCATTATACTTATCTGCTAAAAGAAACGGCTGATGATAATGTTGAATATTGAAAGGATCAATTGAAGTAGCTGACCAAAGTGTATAATATGTTGTCAAAGGTATTGTGATGAATCTCAGAAAATATATAGACCCAACGGCGATAAACTGACCGCACAGGGTACGACAATCGTAAAGGTGATATTTTCTTTTTTACAGTAAAACAAATACAAAAAAAAAAAAAACTGGCTCGCAAACGCCATAGAGCTTATAACAGAAGAAGCGTTAAGATGGCTGCGACAATGGTAACATAGAGAGAAAACCGACAACAACTCGATGTAACACAACGATGTAACACAACGATAACATGAATAATCAAAAACACATTTTCTTGACAGCATATTCGATCGATGTGTATCCAACAGATGGTCTATTCAATAGACCATCGGTTGTCTCTGCCTATTGTAAAAAGTGACTGAAAGGGACTTGTAGTAGGGCAGCAGCTACTACAATATTGGGTCTAGGTGCAGGTAACCTACAATGGTACAAAACAGCTACATACTAAACAGCAACAAGCAGATACGGTAACTGTTTAACTAGTGGCTGCACTGTGATACGGAAGGCAAGGGGAGACCACCGTATAAATCATCCCAAGAAATAGCAATAACATGACATCTTCTAAAGTGAAATATTCCGGAGGTAAAATAGTCCCCCGATCGGATCTCTGGGTGGGGATTACTGGAGAAGAAGGAAATGTTAAGTTGGAGAAGAATTGCTACTTGAAACTGCTTGAAGAACTTGAAGAGCTGGAGATTTATGGAGTCGGTAATATAGGTTGATACACACATAGGAACAGCAGATAAAAACCCAGGAATTGGAGGGGTAGGCCTAATAATGAGTAAGGCTATTGGGGAAAAAGTTAAAGTACTTGTACAGTACAATGATAGAATAATATTAGTCAAAATAGAAACAAAACCTAAGGATACAATCATAGTCCAAGTTTACATGCCTACTTCAAATAGTAGTGCGAAGGAAATGGAAGAAGTCTATGAAGGAATAGAAAAGTCATTGAAAAAGTTNAGTCTACGAAGGAATAGAAAAAGTCATTGAAAAAGTCAAAGGAGATGAAAATCTTATCATTATGGGTGATTGGAACGCTATAGTAGGAAAAGAAAGCCTAGGGCACATAATAGGAAATTATGGTCTAGGAAACCGAAATAAAAGAAGAGACAGATTACTGTTCAAAACACAAGTTATTAATAACAAATACCTACTTAAATCACCATCCAAGAAGAAGATATACATGGAAAATGCTGGGAGACATAGGTAGATATCAAATAGATTATATTATGGTTAAGGATAGATTAAGAAACCAAGTAAAAGACTGCAGAAACTACCCAGGAGTAGACATAGATAGTGACCATAACCTATTAATGATGAAAAGTAACCTAAAAAAAAAAAACGGTAGCACAGTGGGGTCGAGGCACAGTATAGACGTGGCATAGATGAGATAAGTATAGATGATATCTGACAGTGATTAAAATCACTATCATAAGAAACGCTTCGATGCAAATCTGTAGATAGTGTTTCCTTTAGAGAAATTGGTGAAATATTTTAAAAGCAACATGAACTCTTATTTCTTTAATTATATCCTGATTAGTAGTTCTTTGATTTTAAAATATAATATATGAATAAATACTAATTATAGTTTTTAAATTTAGTATGAAATTGTGAGGCCAATTATGATGTATGGTTAATAGTGTTGGGCGGTTGATAAGAAAGTAGAGCAGAGAATAAGTGTAGCAGAGTTGAGAATGCTTAGTTGGATGAGTGGAGTGACTAGAGAAAATAGGATAAGGAACGAGCATATAAGTGGAAGTATAGGTGTTGCGTCATTCGTGGATAAGATGACAGAAAATAGACTTAGATTGTTTAGTCATGGTATGAGGAAAGAAGAATCGAAAGCTGTAAGAACAGTTATAGAAATGAATGTTGAAGGAAGAAGAGATAGAGGAAGACCAAAAAAGAGATGGAGGGATGCTATTGAATGCGATTTGAGGACAGCTGATGTGAGCGTAGAAGATGTGGGAGATCGTGTCAAGTGGAATCTTAGGATAAGGGTGCCCGACCCCAAGTAGTTGGGATTAAGGCAAAGAAAAAGAAAAATATTACCAGATATTCCGGTGGCAATTGACATAATATGATTGTTATTTCGGAATGTACAATTTAGCGTTTAGTTGGGTTTAAATAATATAGCGTCAAATCAATTACCTACTCTATCGGTTGTATCTCAATATACACTACACTTTAATGATACAATAAATAAATAAACTCACACATACACACATATGCATTTATAACATTGTGTCTAATGTAAGTATAACATGATAAAAAGTAACCGTAAAATGAAAAAAATGGAATATAAATTTTATTACTCATATTAAATGTAATGTAACTCGAAAAATATTTGTTTAAATGAAAAAATATAAGATTATATTTTTATTTATAATTGTCTTTTAAACAACTTTTGTGCGAAACTTTTTTTTGTAAGTTAAATATTTTTTTTTGAGAAAATTAAGAAAGCTCATATTTTTGAACTTTTGCGAGGCTTTAAAAAAAAAGCTCAATTCCAATCTTGAGGACTATTAGTATGTCATTATACATATTTTAATTCAACTTTTAAAAAAACAAAATTTTTTCCGCAATTTTTCCTTTGTTGACTGGCCTAGATGTCAATTTTAAACTTGTAATTGAGCTAAAAGTTATGGTAATATATTCAATTTTTTTTACTATAAACTTTCATAAATCTTTATCAAAAATTTTTCATCAACTTTAAAGAACCAAAAAAATAGGTTAAAAATGAAAATTTGGACTGATTATTTTTAACATATTAAAAATCAAATCAGTAATAAATTGAAAACAATTCTTTTTTTCTTTAAATTATTTTTATATGTAATTAGTAATAATATAAAAAATTAGAACTGATAGATAAAGTCTAATTGCAGATTTGAAAACAACGCAAAAAGTTGATTTTTTAAAGTATATTTTTGCTTCTGATGAAAGTTTCTTGTAGTCCAGTGCATTTATTTATAGTAATAAACAGTTTTTATTGAAAATTATGTATCAAGCCCTTTAAATTTTTATACACGTAAAAGTAAAGCAAAATATAACTTCTTTATTATTTTTATAATTTCTCCGTTTAAATTACAATATTAAATATCAATTTCATACTAAATTTAATAATTATAATTAGTATATATTCATATATTATATTTTAAAATCAAAGAACTACTAATCAGGATATAATTAAAGAAATAAGAGTTGATGTTGCTTTTGGAATAATCCACCAATTGCCTAATTAAAACAAAAAAAAAAAAAGTTTGTTGGGAATTTTTTCTGCTATTCTTCAAAATTACTCCTTCGTTGACTAGAATGAATCATTAAATAGAAAATTTGATGAGAATTAAAACAAGGTTATTTTTAAGATTAATATGCAGTCAGGAAATTTTATAATTACTATTTACACTGTAAATTTTACAGTATACTTATCAGAAAAACTCATTATTTTTTTGCATTTTTATGTAATAGAACACTTAAATAGAAATCATAGTAATCATTTCTAAGTAATTTTTGATATTTAAAAAGATTCTACTATTGAAATATCCAGAACTGAATTAATTTTAATGATTTACTTTAACTAAAAAAAAAAAAGTTAATATTTTGAATCCCTCTTGTGGGTAGGTAAAGGGTTAGATTTATAAAAAAAACCAAATGATAGATAAAGACATGCATCTAAATAAAAAAATATATATACTGATGGTCATTTTTGATAAAGTTATAACAATTAACAAAGTTATAAGTTTTATACACTGGACTACAAGGAACTTCCATCAGAAACAAAAATATACTATTCTAAATCAACTTTTCGCGATGTTTTAAAATGTGCAATTAGACTTTTTCTATAACTTCTAAGTTTTAATATTATTAAAAAATAGTTTTTACATATAAAAAAAAATAATTAAGAACAAAAAAAATTGTTTTAAAGCACAAAAAAAATTGTTTTAAATTAATGCTGGTTTTGATTATTAATATGTTAAAAATAAGGAAAATGACATATTTAACCAATTTTGTTAATCGTTTAAAGTTGATTGTTGTAAATGTTTATAAAAAAAAAAAAAAATTTATTTTACCATAACTTTTAGCTCAATTGGTAAGTTTGACATTGACATAATTAAATAGAAAATTTTATGACAATTAAAAAAATTGTATCGTTAAGATCAATATGCAGTCAGAAAGTTTTATAATTACTATTTATTGTAAATTTATCAGAAAAGCTCAATATTTTTTTGCATTTTTATGGTAATAGATAACTTAAATAGAAGTAATAGTAATAATTTCCTAGGAACTTTTGTTGTTTGTTGAAAAGATTCTATAATTGAAATATTGAGAACTTAATTAATTTTAATGATTTACTTTAACTAAATGTACCAATCAAAACAAAGTTGTTAAAAAGATTTACTCAATTGAGTGTATTATAAAATTTGATTATATTTGTAAAAATCAATTGTTAATTCAGGAGAAAAAACAATCATTTTTTTTAGAAATGATTTATATAGCAACATGTTACAAAAAAAAATTGTAATATTATAGTCTAGTAGTAGCACACACAAATAGAGTAAAAAAATTATTAAATTACAAAGTAAAATGATTTAATTTTGTAGTTGAAACCTATCATATCAAACTTCATTCGTTAATAAATATTTTGAAAACATTAGAAATTAATGATTTTAATTGTCTTTATGGAGACCATGTAATAACTAACTGTTTAATTGATAAATTAGAATTTTTTTTTCAATTTTTGAGAGTAATATCTTCAACTAGATACGAATTGTAGTAATTTGACGTATTGTTGAAAAAAGTAGGTCAAGTTAGAGCAGAGAAAATAAATGATAGTCACAAAAAAATATCTTCTCAGCTTTGCATCGAAGCTAAAACTTAAAATATAGTAAAATAATTTTAATACGAATAAGAAATTTCTTCTTACAAGGGGCGACTAAAGTGATGGGATCCTTGATCTTCATTGAAGTTATTGAATCTAAATAAGATAAAAATCAAACGACTTAAAAATTTATACTAACTTAAAAAGAATTTAGAAAAATTGCAAAAAATTCATTGCCATACGCGGGTTGGAACCTCTTACCCCAAGCGTGTAAAACATAAGTTTTACCAACTCGGCAACCGTACGTTAGTGCCATCGGTTGAAAAAATTGGCTATTTAAGCTAGTTCAAATTTCAAAGTTATTTTTCTCGACTTAAAAGAAGCAAACAAATTTAAATAAGTTTAACTTTCTATGCTATATTAATTTTTCATTTATATAATATTTATGAAAATCTGTACTCCCCTTATCAGATATTTTAAAATAAAATAAAATACAAAACCCAGAATTTTAACACAAAAAAAAGCATATTTTTGAATACGGAAGTCATTTTCACCATGAAGACAAGTCCAGAGGTCAAATTTTTTTTTTTTCAAATCAAAGTATATTACATTGCTTTAATTTAAGATATATATAAAAGTGTCAGTATTTCCGGAATACTTTCAAAAATTAAA